TTAGTAAACTTATTATACCTTGGAATCAGGGATACTCATTGGAGCTATGTTAACTTTGAGACCTTGGAAACACATTGCAATTAATTTTTAACCGTATGAAGGGCATCTTGGAATATTAAACTTTCATCTTGGATTAAAACATTGGAACTTTATCGAACTCTGGGTTCGACCCTGGATAAAGCAAGCGGATGTTTTGTTTTGTTTTGTTCCATTAGCCTAAAACTACAATGTTTCTTTCTCCAATTTAAGTTACACGGGTAAACCTTGTTTTGATGCAAAATAACTTCTTTTTCTTATCCAAATCGTGCTATGAAAATAACTAGATAGCGATAGATCAAAACAAGATCAACTCCATCCTTGCGGCCACTGACAACTATAAATTTAGCTTGCGTAGCAGGTGTCGAAAAACAAAGTTGCCGATCAGGAAAGTAAATGGGAATAGTTGCAGCTATTCTGCCGTGGTAGTGAGAAATAAAATGCAAAAAAAACTCATATCCTATTTTATAGTAGTAATTGTACCTAAACAGCCTTTGTGTCAGCCATTATTTATGTATAGAAGGAAGTGTATTTTGTGTACTTGTAGTAGTATTTTATTGGTATAGATGTAGTAGTGCTTGTGCAAAAAAATAAAAAAATATATACATAAAAAAATATAAAAAAAAAAAAAAGATGTCGAACGGGGTAAGGGATACGAAGGAAGCAAAAAGAGGATGTGGACTGGGGAGAAATAACTGTAGCCTGTCACGCAGGCTACTATAAATTCAGTCATAAGCACATTAAACCAACCCATGCAGGTAACCTACTCATCGATGCTCATAACATGACACATCTTTCCGGTTTCCCTAATTTTTCGACATTCAGATAGAACGCCATTATGCTTCCATAGACCAACGCATCCCACGGAAACGACTTTAGGCGTCTTGTTGATAGGATATAAACAAGATCACGCGATCACGCAATCCCACTAGTTCTGGCTCTGACGAGTTTCAGACGATTTAAATATGGTTGGACATTCTGAGATTCTTTTGTCAAAGTGCGCTCAGTTTCGAGAGGTGAATTCATCGATGTGGGTTTAAAAGTGGGAGAAGAGGTATTCTCAGCTCATCGCATTGTGCTCGCTGCCAACAGCGATTATTTTCACGCCATGTTTGCTCATGGAATGAAAGAGTCGAGCCAGGAGGTGATCGAGCTCAAAGATGAAAGCATTTCAGCAGCTGCTTTGAAGATCGTGCTGGATTCCATCTACAGCGGAGATCTTCAAGTCAACGATGAAAACATATTTGAGGTTCTTGTCGCAGCTGATCACCTCCAAGTTACCAGTGCTGTTCAACAGTGTTGTGATTACTTGCAAACCCAGTTTGTTGATCAGCTCCGATTCGACGTGCAAACATTTTGTCGCGTCTCAGCGATTGCTGATCGACATGGTCTGAATAGCCTGCGTGCAGACGATAACTAAACTCTGATTAGTACCGTCTGCGAAGCAGCGCAGAGATCCTTGTTCTGAACCCCCAACGGACTCAACGAATTACAGGAAGTGCGTTTCGAATTTCCCTTAACCTGATTGGCGAACACGACAAACAAAACAAAGGCCTTTTTAAACTGGCCAATCGTGGCGCGTACTCAAATCTGGGTACACAGCTGGAAGTCCAGAACAAGGATTTCGGCGCTGTTTCGCAGACGGAGTTAACCAGAGTTTAATTTCGTCTGCGCGCAGGCTACAATCTTGGACAAAATAAAATGGAACAGCAAACCCCCATCCCCCCCCAAATCAAGGATGAAGCCGCGCGAAGGGCAAAAACGCGCCATTTTACCATCCTTGATTTGGGGGGAGGGGGGGTCTAGGTTTTCCATTTATTTTGTCCAAGATTGCAATCTTGGACAAAATAAAATGGAACAGCAAACCCCCATCCCCCCCAAATCAAGGATGAAGCCGCGCGAAGGGCAAAAACGCGCCATTTTCCCATCCTTGATTTGGGGGGAGGGGGGGTCTAGGTTTTCCATTTATTTTGTCCAAGATTGTAGGTCTGAAAGACCTTGAAGAAGCCACGCAGACAAAGATGGCCTACATTTACAAAGAGATTTGTGAAAGTGAAGAATTCTTGTCCCATGTTGATGCTGATCAGTACACTCGCCTTCTCAGTCGAGATGACCTCAGCGTTCCTTCAGAGACATTCGTCTTCAAATCCGTAATGCAGTGGATAAAACACAAGAAGGAAGAGAGGATGACAGCCGCGGCTAAAGTTATCGGAGCGGTTCGTTTGGGGCTGGTCGATATCAAGGCTTTGATTGAAGAACTTAACACAGAGGAGATGCAAACAGTACCAGAGATTCATACGCTTCTGTTTGACTCCGCTATTTATCACCACAATCCTTCAAATACTTCCAAGTTTGCCACGGAGAAAGCAAAACTACGCTCAACTACTCCCGTGAGTATAGAGTTATGTATCGGTCAAATCGAAGCTTCAACATGCCCCCCCCCCGGGCATACCCCGGGCATTTGACACCTTTGCCGTCCCGGAGAGGAGGGAATTTGATTATCAGAGTCTTCCAGGGGGTAGGGAATTTGATCCCCATGCTTTAGGGGTGGGGAATTTGAACTGCACCCTTGATTTCATGTAAAATCTTTGGCGTGGTGACCTATCATGGGGGACGCGGTGTTAGAGGATTTTCGTGGAAAAGATTGTGCCTTTGTGGCCAATTGTTTACGAGGAAAGGGCTTAAACAAGCTTTGTGCCGTATTTAAAGTATTTAAATTATAAAATTTTTAATATTGGATTCAGGCTTTGAATGTATGAATGTATTTTATTGTTGAGTTCACAATGAAATACAACACCTGTACCGGCGATTCAATACAACAACATAAAATAAAATAAAATAAAAAGCTCAGGTCCACTACTTTGACCTACTGTAAGTATGTTAATTAATAAGATGAGCGATGACGCATGTCAATGAAATGGTCATGATGTAGTAATCTCAATAGGTGGGATCTTTTTTTATGCAACGCTTTGCAAGTTGCATGACGAAGAAAAGCTGCGCATTCAGTGACCTTGTAGCAGCGATTTCCGCCGCTTTGCACGAGACTTCTGTTCGTAGTTAATACGCTCACCGTGTTTCTCAGTTTTTGTTATATTTATAAAGATTTTGTTCGACAACTGAAGGCGTTTCCGCCGTCCTTCTGTCATTTTTGTGCCCGTGAAATGTCCCCGGGGTGGCGGCATTTGATCACCTGAATGGACCCTAGTGTGGGGCATTTGAAAGGCATTTTGGTCCGGGTAGGGGGGAATTTGAACAAAAATTTTCAAAAAAGTCAAATGCCCGGGGGGGTTGCCCGGGGGGGCATGTTGAAGCTTCGATTTGACCGATACATTATATTGATATCATCATGGTCCTCAAATGGGTCTAGGAGTTTCGTCTGGGATGTCATGGAGTCTTTAATTTCTTTGTTTAATCTTAGTTTAAGGGTAAAGATTTTTGATGCTTAGCGAAGAAAGCAAATTGGAGTATTGGATAAAATATATATTTTTTGTTTTATTCTTTTGTTTACTTCTTCATCGACTTGCCGTATAGCCTGCGAACAGCAGACGCATTTCCGGTCGTCGCTTCTCTCCCTCCGAAAGCAGAGAAGCGACGACCGGAAATGCGTCTGCCGTTCGCAGGCTACTTGCCGTAAGGATCACTCAGTTTGCCGTTTCATCATTTTCTACAAGTTAGTATTGTATTGATCCAGGTCTACAACTGGGAGATCCGAGGACTTGCTGATATGTTTAAATAGGATATTGCTGGGGAACATTAGGGCCATTTATACGGGGAAAAATAAGAGGCGTCTTAAATAAGACGCGAACTGTACCATTTATACGAGCATGTCTTATCTAATAAGACGCGTCTTAGCTAAGCCGCGTCTTATTTTAGACGAAATGTTCCGTTTATACCGAAAGTTCGCGTCTTATGTAAGACGCGTCTTATTTTTCCTCGTATAAATGGCCCTATTGTTTGCGGCTTCAGTACAATTTCTTTCGGGATCTGTAAATTTTTTTTTTTAATTGCTTTTCGTAAGCGGCTCCCTTATCACTTGTTAGAGCGAAACTAAATTTAATAATCAACCATAAGTGTACTACGAATAATAATAATTGAAAATGTTGTAAACCGTCCTTTCAAAAGCTCGTGCAATTATTGGGGTCTGAAACTTATGCCTCTACAAAGTCCTCACAGTTGACCGGGAAATCGACTTTAGGGAGAGGCATTCACTTCCTTTCACGCGCGTAGCTATTGTTGGTTAGACAAAGACAGTTTCCAAACGGCTTCAACAGTAGAAGTTAAAATATCAGCATACTCTTTCCAAACCCAAAAAGGTATTTCGTCGGGTCCAGTGGAGGTATTCCTGATGTTGGATAGAGCCTTTAAAACCTGAAATGTCGACAGCTGCGGTCACGGTTGAAGCGGTTACAGCAACTTACATCAGTGCAGGTTCAATATATCTCTAATCCTTGCATAAATCAAAGAACCTGCTTAACGTTTCTAGAAATTTTTCATCTAAGCTTACAACTACCTTGTCCTTCCGTCGAGGTTTCGCCACCAACCCATGGAACACCTCTTCCCTCCAGCTAAAGCTTTACGACCTTTGATGGTACAATTACTTGTTCTTTGCTTTAGTTGAACGACATGTTTGGCCGTGTAGAGCTTGGAGTCAGGGTTTCTTTTTAAAAAGAGAAGTAATGAGAGGTGTCAACCATACAGGATATCTCGAGGATACTCGGACAGTTTTTAACAAACAGCTGTTGTAGGCCACATTGTAAACAAGATGGAAGCAATAAAGATACAGTTGGTATGGTCAAGAGGGAATAGGTTACTCTCTCTTGGTATATGCCAAGGTTTCCCATGGTCCCAGAGGAACACCCCAGTACCCACCCCTCCCCCCCAATAATTAGCTCGCCCTCCAAACCACCCTTGAGGGAAAATTTACCAATACCTTTACTTTCCCTCAACTACTGAACATTCAAATAATATTTCAGTGAGTAATGAACAATAAATCAACAATCAAATACCGTTACTAGGCGTTGTCGGTCGAAGTACATCTCTACTACTATGATTGAAGCGTGGAACCTCTGGGCAGTTTACGCTTTATTATTGCTGATTTTAATCAGCTTTATACTACTACAAGAAAAATTTCTGCAATTTGATTGGCTTAGAGCAGTGGTATTTCAGCTTAATTTGAAATACCTACATGTGAAAATTAATTACAAACCTTTTGCGGGTACTAGTATAAACATATCATAGCATGATTTGTACTTGATATTTGGCATGAATACCACTCGTGATATTTCAAAATTGTCTCAAATTTCACTCGCCTAACGGCTCGTGCAATTACGTATAACAATTTTAAAATATCACTCGTGGTATTTATGCCAAATATCACTACAAATAATGCTATTACCTGTACTAATAGTAACCTTATTGCCAATCCAGATTCAGTTAAAGCTGTAATATAACGGGGACATTTTGGTAATGGGTTCATGATAACCGTCACGAATATAGAGACGTTAAGTGACCACTAAGCCCACTATAAGAATGTTAATGTAATTGCTGTAGTTACTGTAGTTGGTGTAGTACCTGTAGTTCGTGTAGTTAGTGTAGTTGGTATAGTAGCTGTTGTAGCTGTAATTGGTGTAGTAGCTGTAGTTGGTATAGTTGCTGTAGTTGGTGTAGTTAATGTAGTTGGTGTCGTTGCTGTAGTTGATGTAGTTACTGTAGTTGCTGTAGTAGCTGTAGTTGGTGTAGTAGCTCTAGTTGGTGTACTAAGTGTAGTTGGTGTACTAAGTGTAGTTGGTGTAGTAGCCGTAGTTGCTGTAGTTGGTGTAGTAGCTGTAGTTTGTGTAGTTGCTGTAGTTGCTGTAGTTAATGTAGTTCGTGTAGTTGGTGTAGTTGATGTAGTTACTGTAGTTGCTTTAGTTGGTGTAGTAGCTGTAGTTGGTGTAGTTAGTGTAGTTGCTGTAGTAGCTGTAGTTGGTGTAGTTGGTGTAGTACTGTAGTAGGTGTAGTTAGTGTAGTTGCTCTAGTTGGTGTAGTTGCTGTAGTTGGTGTAGGCGGTGTAGTTGGTGTAGTAGCTGTAGTTGGTGCAGTTGCTGTGGTTGCTGTAGTTGGTGTAGTAGCTGTAGTTAATGTACTTGGTGTAATAGCTGTAGTTGGTGTAGTTGGTGTAGTAGCTGTAGTAGGTGTAGTTAGTGTAGTTGGTGTAGTTGGTGTAGTTAGTGTAGTTGCTGTAGTTGGTGTAGTTAGTGTAGTTGGTGTAGTTCATGTAGTTAGTGTAGTTGGTGTAGTTACTGTAGTTGCTGTAGTTGCTGTAGCTGGTGTAGCTGGTGTAGTAGCTGTAGTTGGTGTAGTTGCTGTAGTTGGTGTAGTAGCCGTAGTTAATGTAGTTGCTGTAGTTGCTGTAGGTAGTGTAGTTGGTGTAGTAGCTGTAGTTGGTGTAGTTAGTGTGGTTGGTGCAGTAACTGTAGTTAGTGTAGTAGCTGTAGTTGGTGTAGTTGCTGTAGTTGCTGTAGTAGCTGTAGTTGGTGTAGTAGCTGTAGTTGGTGTAGTTGGTGTAGTTGGTGTAGTTGGTGTAGTTGGTGTAGTTGGTGTAGTTGGTGTAGTTGGTGTAGTTGGTGTAGTTGGTGTAGTTGGTGTAGTTGGTGTAGTTGGTGTAGTTGGTGTAGTTGGTGTAGTTGGTGTAGTTGGTGTAGTTGGTGTAGTTGGTGTAGTTGGTGTAGTTGGTGTAGTTGGTGTAGTTGGTGTAGTTGGTGTAGTTGGTGTAGTTGGTGTAGTTGGTGTAGTTGGTGTAGTTGGTGTAGTTGGTGTAGTTGGTGTAGTTGGTGTAGTTGGTGTAGTTGGTGTAGTTGGTGTAGTTGGTGTAGTTGGTGTAGTTGGTGTAGTTGGTGTAGTTGGTGTAGTTGGTGTAGTTGGTGTAGTTGGTGTAGTTGGTGTAGTTGGTGTAGTTGGTGTAGTTGGTGTAGTTGGTGTAGTTGGTGTAGTTGGTGTAGTTGGTGTAGTTGGTGTAGTTGGTGTAGTTGGTGTAGTTGGTGTAGTTGGTGTAGTTGGTGTAGTTGGTGTAGTTGGTGTAGTTGGTGTAGTTGGTGTAGTTGGTGTAGTTGGTGTAGTTGGTGTAGTTGGTGTAGTTGGTGTAGTTGGTGTAGTTGGTGTAGTTGGTGTAGTTGGTGTAGTTGGTGTAGTTGGTGTAGTTGGTGTAGTTGGTGTAGTTGGTGTAGTTGGTGTAGTTGGTGTAGTTGGTGTAGTTGGTGTAGTTGGTGTAGTTGGTGTAGTTGGTGTAGTTGGTGTAGTTGGTGTAGTTGGTGTAGTTGGTGTAGTTGGTGTAGTTGGTGTAGTTGGTGTAGTTGGTGTAGTTGGTGTAGTTGGTGTAGTTGGTGTAGTTGGTGTAGTTGGTGTAGTTGGTGTAGTTGGTGTAGTTGGTGTAGTTGGTGTAGTTGGTGTAGTTGGTGTAGTTGGTGTAGTTGGTGTAGTTGGTGTAGTTGGTGTAGTTGGTGTAGTTGCTGTAGTTGGTGTAGTTGGTGTAGTTAATGTAGTTGGTGTAGTTGGTGTAGTTGGTGTAGTTGGTGTAGTTGGTGTAGTTGGTGTAGTTGGTGTAGTTGGTGTAGTTGGTGTAGTTGGTGTAGTTGGTGTAGTAGCTGTAGTTGGTGTAGTTGGTGTAGTAGCTGTAGTAGGTGTAGTTAGTGTAGTTGGTGTAGTAGCTGTAGTTGGTGTAGTTGCTGTAGTTGCTGTAGTTGCTGTAGTTGGTGTAGTAGCTGTAGTTGGTGCAGTTGCTGTAGTTGGTGTAGTAGCTGTAGTTGGTGTAGTTGGTGTAGTTAGTGTAGTTGGTGTAGTAGCTGTAGCTGGTGTAGTTGGTGTAGTAGCTGTAGTAGGTGTAGTTAGTGTAGTTGGTGTAGTTAGTGTAGTTGCTGTAGTTGGTGTAGTTAGTGTAATTGATGTAGTTAGTGTAGTTGGTGTAGTTACTGTAGTTGCTGTAGTTGCTGTAGCTGGTGTAGTAGCTGTAGTTGGTGTAGTTGCTGTAGTTGGTGTAGTTGCTGTAGTTGGTTTAGTAGCTGTAGTTGGTTTGGTGTAGTTTTGTGTAGTTGATGTAGTTTGGTGTAGTTTTGTGTAGTTGGTGTAGTTTGGTGTAGTTTGGTGTAGTAGGTGTAGTTTGGTGAAGTTTTGATGTAGTTTTGTGTAGTTGGTGTAGTTTTGTGTAGTTGGTGTAGTTTGGTGTAGTAGGTGTAGTTTGGTGACGTTTGGTATAGTTTTGTGTAGTTGGTGTAGTTTGGTGTAGTTTGGTGTAGTAGGTGTAGTTTGGTGACGCTTGGTGTAGTTTTGTGTAGTTTGTGTAGTTTGGTGTAGTTTGGTGTATTAGGTGTAGTTTGGTGTAGTTTGGTGTAGTTGGTGTAGTTTTGTGTAGTTGGTGTAGATTGGTTTAGTAGGTGTTGTTTCGTGTGGTGTTGTGTAGTTGGTTTAGTTTGATGTAGGTGGTGTAGTTTGGTGTAGTTTTGGGTAACAACTACACTAAATACACCAACTACACAACCTAAACCAAATGCACATACTACACCAACTACATATACTAAACCAACTACATATACTACAACAACTACATATACTACACTAACTACACTGACTACACCAACTACACTGACTACACCAACTACAGCAACTACAACAACTACATATAGTACACCAACTACACATACTACACTCACTACACTAACCACATATACTACACCAACTACACCTACTAACCAACTACACATACTACACAATCTACAGTAACTACACCAATTACACTAACTACACATACTACACCAACTACATATACTACACCAACTACACATACTACACTAACTAAACCAACTACACTGACTAAACCAACTACAGCAACTAAAACAACTACATATACTACAGCAACTACACATACTACACTCACTACACCAACCACATATACTACACCAACTACACCTACTAACCAACTACACATACTACACCATCTACAGTAACTACACCAACTACACTAACTACACCAACTACAGCAACTGCACCAACTACACCAACTACATCTACTACACCAACTACATTAACTACACTAACTACACCAACTACAGCTACTACACCAACTACAGCTACTACATCAACTAAAGCAACTACAGAAACTACATCAACTACAGCAACTACACCAACTACACTAAGTACACCAACTACAGCCACTACAGCAACTACACCAACTACAGCAACTACAGCAACTACAGCAACTACAGCTAATACTGCACCAACTACAGCAACTTCATCAACTGCAGTAACTACGAAAACTACACTAGCTACCCCAACTACACTAACTACACCACCTACACCAACTACAGCTATTACACCAACTACACCAACTACGGCTACTACACCAACTACAGCAACTACAGGAACTACACCAACTACACCAACTACACCAACTACACCAACTACGCCAACTACACCAACTACAGCAACTACAGCAACTACAGCAACTACAACAACTACATATACTACACCAACTACACATACTACACTCACTACACCAACCACATATACTACACCAACTACACCTACTAACCAACTAGACATACTACACCATCTACACTAACTACACCAACTACACTAACTGCACCAACTACAGTAACTACACCAACCACACTAACTACAGCAACTGCACCAAGTACACCAACTGCAGCTGCTACACCAACTACATTAACTACACTAACTACACGAACTACAGCTACTACACCAACAACAGCTACTACATCAACTAAAGCAAGTACAGAAACTACATCAACTACAGCAACTACACCAACTACACTAAGTACACCAACTACAGACACTACAGCAACTACACCAACTACAGCAACTACACCAACTACAGCTAATACTGCACCAACTACAGCAACTTCATCAACTACAGCAACTACACAAACTACACTAGCTACACTAACCACAGCAACTACAGCAACTACACTAACTATACCAACTACACCAACTACAGCTACTACACCAACTACACCAACTACGGCTACTACACCAACTGCAGCAACTACAGGAACTACAGTAACTACACCAACTACAGCTACTACACCAACTTCACCAACTGCAGCTACTACACCAACTACAGCAACTACAACAACTACATCAACTACACCAACTACACCAACTACACCAACTACACTAACTACAGCAACTACAACAACTACAGCAACTACAACAACTACAGCAACTACACCAACTACAGCTACTACACCAACTACAGCTACAACACCAGCTACAGCAACTACACCAACTACACCAATTACACTAACTACACCTACTACAGCTACTACACCAACTACAGCTACTATACCAGCTACAGCAACTACAGCAACTACACCAACTACACTAACTACATCAACTACACCAACTACAGCAACTACACTAACTACACCAACTACAGCTACTACACCAACTACACTAACTACACCAACTACAGCTACTACACCAACTACACTAACTACACCAACTACAGCTACTACACCAACTACTGCTACTACACCAACTACAGCTACTACAACAACTACAGTAACTACAGCAATTACATCAACATTCTTATAGTGGGCTTAGTGGTCACTTAACGTCTCTATATTCGTGACGGTTATCATGAACCCATATTTTCCAGTCCCAACACCAACTGTCACTCTCAACCAGTTGAACTTCAGTTGAATCGTCTCTTTTACTTATCATTGCAGGTCCTTGTTGCTGTTCTTCCTCAGTCTCATATGATGTATTTTGATGTTGAAAAGAAACAGTGGAAGAAACTATCGTCCTTAGCACCAGTGACAGATATATTGAATTGCTACTGTGCAGAGATTGTTGGCAGGCAACTGTTTGTCGCCGGAAATATTGGAGCCGTAGGTTATTCTACTTACTGCTATGACATAGAAACAAATAAGAGGCAAAGGCAAGAGGAAGCCCTTCCATGTGGGGAGATCCGCAGCCTGTGCACTGTAGGCGACTACATGTATGCAGTACCTTCTGATTACAGCAAGATACCTCAAAGGTATAGCTTTGCAAAACGTCAGTGGCAAAGTTTCGCAAAATTTTCTCTAACTCATCATTACAGCTGGTATCACAACAACAGTGCAACAGTACTTCACTCTAAATTGTATGTACTCAGTGGACTAAGGGACCCCACTACGGGGTTTCATTATAATGCACTGCTACATTGTTTTGATCCAGTGACTAATTTGTGGACGCAAAAAGCTTTAAGCTGTAATCGTCACTTTGGGTCAACTCTGTTTTTAGTGCATGGCAGACTCTATGTAGCAGGGGGTTATCAATCTTTTAACGGTAGGCCCTGTGGTAACCCAGCACCTGTTGAAGTCTACGATGAAGAAAACAATAGGTTGTCCGTTGTTGACCAAAAACATATTCCGCAAAATAACCTTGGTGCAGTGGAAATAGAGGGGAGGGTTTATTTCATCATCAATAATTTTCCAATTGACAGTGGCATTAGAATCCCACCAGAAGAGGTGTACCCTGTTTATCTGGGGGACTGGGAAAATTTAGGAAACGTTGCTAATAATGCAGCCCTGTGTTACCTACCTTTAAAGAGGGACAGCGTAAAAGTAGACTAAGGATACTTTAAGAAAAATCCCTTAGGTGGCTGAAACTTCGACCGAAAGGCAGCCAGATTGGTTTACGTCTTACAATACATCAGATAACCGATCCGTTATACTGAGATATTCGAAAACGAAAGTTAGATATTAAAGTTTAAGCTGTATTCTTTACTGTATCTCCCACTTCGATTAGCCTTTGAATTGTCAGTGCGGGCCGTACATATGTATATATATCTTTATAGCATATTGCTATTTAGGAATGAATAGTCAGGTAAATCACTTTTTCCTTCTGGTTGTGTTTGCATTGATATTAAGAAAGTTTGTAGCAAGTTTTAGATGGTAAGGTTATCATAGTTTATGTTGTTAACAGACTTCCGTTGTATTACTTTACAAAATAACTGTATTATTTCCGAGAAGCGTTATATGGCGCTCTTGCGCCGCGTGGTGTCGGCCTCATGGTCCTCATGTGTGGTGGCTCCACGATGGTTCCTGCTTAACGAGGAGCCACTGAACGAAACTGAGATCGCAACGCAACAGCGTAAGCTCCAAAGGGAACAGCGACGTGAGTGTGTACAGCCATGGGCTGGGCTGACACAACTTGATGGCGAGGATAATGGGCGCGGATGACGTGTCGCGCAGATGGAATAGGCACAGGAATAGGAAAGGAGGGGGTGTGTGTAGTGTACACTTGTTGTATAGCGGGGTAGCCAACATTTGCTTGTGTGGCTTGCCACTGACTGGGGAAGGGGTGGCCATCTGGCTGTGTTGGTACAGATGGCTTGCCACGTCTGTTGGTGTTATTCGTTGACCTGGGAGTGCGCACACTAGGGCCGGCCTGATCACACCTGTTAAGTTCTTTACCAATTTTGGGCTCTAGCTCCTGAGAACCAAAAAGACGGGTTTTCCCACCTGCACTAACTAATCACCTCGATATCCGATTCTCCCCTTTCAGCGGCTTTATCACTGAGCCCTTTCGGCACCCTTTCACGAGTATGCTTCATCCTGGCACTTCGCATTTCTCCTACATCTGTGCCTTAACTACACATATTTTGTCACCTGACTTCCCACCCTTACATGTCCGAGACCCAGATGTAATTAAGCCTTGCTGTCCCATCAATACGCTGATAGCACTTCCTCATAAATCAAGCTCTGACTCCGTGTCTTGTATCTTATTTATCTCCAGTAATTTACTTAGTGACGATTTTGGCCGGCAGTCACTGCGGTAACTGCATGGCCGCAAAATAGGGGGCAGCTTCTTAAAATGAAACTCTGTAACATATCAGAACTGTCCGTACATTCATGTTAAAGGTTTAGGTTAGTCTTACTATGACTTTTATTCAAACTATTTACGAAACGTTGGCTGAAGTGCTGCTTTAATGATGATCGCCTTCAAATAAAGGAGGCGTTTACTCAAAGGGAGTGGACTTCAAAATAGATTTATTGAAATGTAACTCGTAGTCTTAATTCTCTATTGATTGAGTACTTTAGCCTGAATGTTTCCTCATATTTTAATATTGTACAATTCAATATTTTCCAACTTTAAATAAAATTTCTCTGATCATTGACCATGTACGCATATCAGCCTCTCCGGGGGTACTCCCTTATATAAGCATATAGGTATGTGTGCCCCGAAGGATACGTCTTTTTTTTTTTTGCCGTTTTAGGTTTGAAAACGGGAATTCATTTTGCCCATGTTGGTCTGGAATCAGGTATGGTTTTCGAGGGAACTACGGTAGCGTATGAACGATTATTCCAAATGAATACTGAGAAAGAAAGAGTAATATACGAAATANATTTTTTAAAGAACAAGGCTAAAGAAGAGTATGGATTTTTGTCTTAAAAAGGGTCAAGGTTTGGAGAACCTGGGGGAAAAACCCCACCAAAAATTCCCCGGGGTTCCCCCCCCCCCCCCTCTGGAATAAGCTTGCACTGCGTTGCGCTTTTCTTAGCTTCCTTTTATTTAGTTTCGCTTTTGACCTTAACCACAGGAACAGTTTTAGGCACACTTTTGTTGGCCCAGCCAGTAACTCTAACTGAGAAGTTGGTTAGTGCCATAGTCCTAACCTCAGCAGACGCACTATTTGGTTTGTATCCTTAAAGGCAATTTTGCGCTGTGGTTTTGGGTTACTTAACTGCAGGGCCTAATGACATACGTCCCAATGCTTAGTACTAAAAATGAAACTGATGACTCCTAATAAAGACGAAAAACAGCTGTGATGTAACTGCGCGGGTGATATGACTGTGAGTTGGTCAATATAGTGTAATACTGACTTAATTGACTCGACTCTGATTTAAAGTTTGAGTTTACCTCGTACGCGAAAAATTATTTTGCAAATGAAAAGTGACTCACTTTTCATTTGCAAAAGACAGAGTCATCGCCCTGACCGGGTACCCAGTTTGGATGACTGCGTCATAGTGTCGTGACGTTGACGCTTTGGGGATACTAAATCGCCGGCTAGTTGGTCTTGTCAGCTAGAACGCTTAGAGTGTTTGAACACTAGTCTTTTTAAAAAATACCACGGAGCAGGTACTGCCTTTTTGGACCATTTTTGTATGAAAAAGAGGAATCGTAGGTGCTGTCTAACACTACATTCACTTACAGTTAACCAACTCAAAAAATAAATTGAGAAAAGCGTCCACTATATTGTAAACATTGGTATGGCGTGTCAACAGTCACCCAAGACGAAAATAGTCTGAGGCCATCACCGATGTCTGAAGCCGTGTGTTCACCTGCATAATTCTTTTTGTGAACAAGAGACGAAAACTGTCATGTTTCTGAGTTGGCAATTTTTCAAAGTCGTGTCAACACGGTTGTACGACTCTTCATAACTCACGTGAAATCCGTATGATTACAATGATTCATAGAGTGTAAGGTCACGCGATCTTCGTTTTGCTCAGCGTAAAAGAGTGGTTCTTAGGCCTGGTTCAGACGCCGTACTTTTCATGTGCCGAGCCTAACTGAATAAGTTCGACTTTGGAGCGACACTGGCGCGACATCTGATTCAGACGGCGTACCGTGTGTCGAACCTAAGTTAAGTTCGACAAAAGTTCGACAGACTCTGTCGAACTTAACGCTTTTGCCGCACCAACTAAAACTGCAGTACCAAATTGATTCAGACGCCGCTCTTTTGCCGTACTTAATTCATCAGTTAGGTTCGGCACATGAGTGGAGCGGCGTCTGAACCGGGCCTCAGTTGATTTCAGAAGGATTTTCCATTCTCAGATTCTTTTGTCAAAGTGCGCTCAGTTTCGAGAGCAAGGTGAATTCATCGACGTGGGTTTAAAAGTGGGAGAAGAGGTATTCTCAGCTCATCGCATTGTGCTCGCTGCCAGCAGCGATTATTTTCACGCCACGTTTGCTCATGGAATGAAAGAGTCGAGCCAGGAAGTGATCGAGCTCAAAGATGAAAGGTTTGCAACAGCTGCTTTGAATTCTATCTACAGTGGAGACCTTCTTGTCACCGATGAAACTGTCTTTGACGTACTTGTCGCAGCGGATCACCTTCAAGTTACAACACAGGGTCCAGAGGAGTTTCGTGTGAATAAATGAATTACTTATTTAAAGTCACACCTTGAAAAATGTCTATGCCTGTCGCTTAGCACGATTAATTAGCCTGATGGGATCTTAATGAATCTACCGTAAACAATTTCTTCGCTTCGTATCAATAAATCAATAAATCAAAAACCAATCAATAAATCAATAACCGCAAGCCATATCCTCGCTGGCGCACGCAACGTCGCCCGAAGGGCGACCGAGGCACGAAGTGCCGAGTTAAAAACGGGCAAGGGAGGAAACTTGTACCACGTGATTTCGTTCGCTATGAACCGCATCACTCGGTGACGGAAGTGAATAAGACCGGAAACGCAATAGCAACTCGAGAATCAAAACATCAGCTGCGGAGGGAGTTTAAAAGATCTCAGAGATCTATGCGCAGGCAACAGAGTTTTAATTGAAGTGAAGATCTTTCAAGACTGGACATTTGTTGTGCATGTCAAGTCGCTTGTGCAAAGGACTAAAGAAAATCGCTTAGTTATTCAGATCCAGAAGGCACTTTGGAGAAAAACTGGAACCCTTATTTAGCCGTAATAAAAAGCTTCACGCTTCAAAAGAGGTCAAAGAAAATGCGCTTGCATCAGAGGGAAAATCGTGCCGACCAGAAACAATAACCACAGTAAATCGGTATGTGTGTCATGACTTGTCAGTGTGTGAATCACATTTACTCAGTGAAAATGTAGAACCTTCCAGAGCATAATCTACCCAGGAGAGGAAAAAAACTTTAATGGAACGAGCAGCATTTTGGCATGAGGTAAAATTAAAGTCGTGTTGGCTTACCATCCCCTTTCATTGCTCCGATCTTGAGTACATTTACTTTACTACGTCATTTCCGTCACCATCTGTTGCAGTGCACAGCGAACGAAAGCGCTATCTCGAAGCCGTAAATTTCGGTCGCCGAAAATGAATTAGAACCCTTTTTTATGCCGTTTTCCTACAGTATTTGGCAAATACATAAGACTTCTAGACCAGGTTAGTAAAATCAGGCGATTTCATTCAATTCCATTTGAGTTTCAGGGATTCGAAAATCGGCCCCGAATTTGTTTCCTCCCTTTCCGTATTTTATACTGTAAGCCGATCTTGCGAGCCCTCAGTCTCTTGGTTTGCGGTCAATAGAATGTGTAATGAGACTGTAACGCGATCAAAATAACCCATTTTTTCAGAGGTTTTCGACGGGTTTTGATGTTCTAACGACAAACACATCTCCTCTGAACCCTGTGAAATAAGACGCGAACTGTACCATTTATACGAGCATGTCTTTTCTAAGACGAGAGCAGCTCGTATAAATGGTTCGCGTCTTATTTCTGGTTGACTCGTTTTTATGTGAATGTTGCCCGTAGCAACGGCAATCCAACGTGGCGCGCCCAAAATTAACGCATGCGTACTATGCGTTCGCGTCTATTTCGCGTACTACTACTCGCGTCTATTTCGCGTACTATGCGTTCGCAAGTATTTCTCGTCTTAGCTAAGACGCGTCTTATCTAACAACAGGTGTTAAGGGCTGTTCTAAAATAAGACGCGTTGGGTAGGTTGGGTAGGAGACACCGCCACCTCAGTTAGCAGTTCAAGGGACTTGAAAGAGCTCGAGCGCAAGAAACGGGTCTTCGATTTGGGAACGATTGCCAAACTGATTATCTCAGCGTTATCAGACAAAACTAGGAGTCCACTGCACAACACTAACTAGCGATCTCGTTTACAAAAATGGATTACGATAGGTCTGGTTTCGGCTTTAGAATAAACTAATAATGGAGAAAAGTTTATTCGTAGTATTGAGAGACCAGCGGAAAATACCCGGCATGAACAACCAATTCTCGTTTTTCCTGGTTGTGTGTCTGTTTATATAGCTGACTGTCATAACAAAATTTAATATGGACGGTACGAGAAAGAACTTCTACTGGGGACAACCTACCACCCGTATCTCAAATATGCCAGCTAAGATTACGCCGGTTTAAGTATGTGTTCTAAGTGTTGAGAAGCAACATCTCGAAACAGCTGTGAAAGACTCTCGAGTTCGTTGCCTTTCATTTAAATTCAGTATTATCGTTCTTTGTTAATCTCATTCAGAAGATCTTCCTTCTACGTTGAAAAAAATTGAACATTTTCCCATTTTTTCTTGTTATTTATATTAGATCCTTGTTGCCCTTCTCCCTCAGACTCATATGATGTATTTTGATATGGAGGAGAAACACTGGAAGCAGCTATCATCCTTAGCACCAGCAGCTGATGCAAGAAAAATTGCTATTGTGCAAAGACTGTTGGTGGTGAACTCTTTGTTTCTATTGATTCCTGTATTTATTGCTACGACATAGAAACAGATAAGTGGCAAAAGCACGGGGATCCAACATGTCGAGTAGTCAAAAGCCTTTGCACTGTAGGCGACTACATGTATGCAATCAGTTCAGACTGCAACGAGGTAACTCAAAGGTATAGCTTTCCAAAACGCCAGTGGCAAAGTTTTGCAAAAGTAAATGTTTCGAGTGGTTATCCCGACAATTATTTTTACAGTGGGGCAACGGCCCTTCTTTCAAAAGTTTATGTACTTTACGGACATACAAATTACAACCAGTCGCTACACTACTGGCAGATACAAAAAGCAGGGCTTCATTGTTTTGACCCAGCGAGCAATGAGTGGCTAGAAAAAGCTTCAACCTGCCATCCCCACTTTGGATCCTGTCTTTTTGTAGCGAATGGCAAACTCTGTGTTGCAGGTCGTTATAATTCTATTGACACAAATAACAGGCTCTGTGGTAACCCAGCAGCTGTAGAAGTTTACGATGAAGACAACAACAAGTGGTCCGTTGTTGACCAAAAACATTCCCCAAAACAAACTTGGTGTAGTGGAAATAGAGGGAAGGGTTTATTTCATCATCAATACATTTCCAATTGACAGTGGAATTAGAATCCCTTCAGGAGAAGTTTATCCTGTTTATCTCGGTGACTGGGAAAATTTAAGAAACGTTCCCAACAATGCAGTCCTTTGTTACGTACCTTTAAAGAGGGACAGCGTTAAAGGGGACTGAGAAAAATTAGTAAAAATAGCTTCGGTGACTAAGACGTTTACCGAAAAGCCCCCGCAAATGGGTTTGCGTCGTACAACAGCGGTGCTTATGTAAAACTTCTCATTCTTGAAGAAAACAGCTTTATCGCTTAAGATCTAGGTAAAATTAATCGGCGGCTTTTAATCAGATAATCAATCCGCTATACTGAGATATTAAAAAACGAAAGTTAGAAAAAAAGTTCAACTAAGTTGTACTCTTTTGGACTACCTACTGCCTTACCCACTTTGATTAGCCTTTGCTATATCAGTGCGGGCAGTATATATCTTTATAGTAATTGCTATATATGAATGATAAGTCATATAAATCACTTTTTTTTTCAGTGATAGTTTCTATCAGTTTGCGTTGATATTAGAAGACTTTCTAGCAATTATACAGGGTATTTAATACCAACTCCAGATTAATTTTTAGTTTCTAGTTATCTATTTTCTCACGTAGGATTTATTAAAAACACCTGTAAAGTACTGTCATGGTTAATCAAATAAATGTAATGTTTTTGTTATTTCCTCAATCAATAAGGCTTAACGAGGAAAGATGTCTACTTTTCTGTACCCATCGACCGTGAACAAGTTGCGTTCTTTTCGGCTGCGTTGTATTGTCTTTAGGGACTGCGCAATAATTATCAGGAAGGGGGGGTCCTAAAATGAGCTTCACCAAAGGAAAAATTAGGTAGGTCCCCCCTCCAGCAGCGTCAAGATTACCTCTGACCCCCCCTCACGTTCTCTCAAAATTATGATGTGCCCCCCCCCCCTCTCTAACCCGTACCTTTATTCACCGTACTGCAACGTATTCCACTGCTGGAGCCAATGCAGCATTGATGAAGCAGGCGTTTATCGCGGAGAGAGACAGGCAATATAAAGTTACTTTAGATATTGAAAAACTTGAGAACAGATACCAATATCTTTTATCCGACAACCATGCTTGTGCAGGAAGGTTTTTTCGAGAGGATTACAAGCCAGCTCCCCATGATGACAGCAACATCAGACGTTGCAAAAAAGAGGCAAATGATATCCAGGACAAGCTTAATGCTGTCGTAGCCAAGTTAGAAAAACACGACAACAGTCTTTTTACAGACAATGGCAAACTGAAGACTGGCCTCAGCTGTTAAAACAATTTTAATGCTGAACAACGTCATTCAATAAAGTCTCAAGTCGGTTTAAACGTTCTGCATCTTGTAGAAGACCTGGATAGGGTGATGGCTAAATATAAAGCGACATTTCCTATTGGTGCCAAATCTAAAGCATCCAAATCAAGAAAAAAGAAGGAACAGAAGAAAAAAAGGGAGAAGAAGAAGATTGCTGCCTCAGAAAGGCGTAGGACCCGAACCTGTATAATTTTTCGGTCTTTAGGAGGTGAACCCATTGATGACAACTATGAAACAGAAGCATGTGGCATTCCTCAGCTAGAAACTGTAGACCTAGAAACCCTCTCGCTGTTTAAATCAAGAACAGACCTGGCATGTCTGCGGGACCTCTTAAATGCCAAATGTTTTATTGGCAAAGCTCACAACGTGGTTTGTGACTTCTGTGCATGAACAATTGTTTCAATCTATCATATGTTGACATTCTAAATAAGTTAAAACATGTGTTTATGTTGATGCAATATTTAGACATTATGGATAGTCAAAGGAGTGGCATCTGTCTATTTGGAAAATGTTTATTTATTCATTATCGAATTTGTGAAATTTAATTAAGACCCCCCCCTCAACTTACTTGAGAAATCTAATGTAGAGCCCCCCTCCTTTCCATTATTTTAACTTAACCCCCCCCCCCTCCGGTTTTAGGGCCCCCCCTCCTGATAATTATTGCACAGTCCCTTAATTGTCCATGAACTTTACTATTTTTATAGGTAACTTTCTTTTCCATCTCTAGACAGATTGCTAACGATTAAAAAAAAATCAACGTTCGAAAATTTCCCAATTTCCTTCCCACGCGGCATCAAATCCTGCAAATAAGCCGCTGTCAGGCCATTGCTGGCACATGGGGTAGACTATCGATTTTGTTCACTATAAGTTAACTGATAAAGCAATAGAGGCGGGATGTGCGTTGGTTGTTGATACCTTCTCATTCTTTAGACTACGTACGTAGATTTTATGGAAAGAATTAAACAACAGAACATCCCTACACCCTACGAAAATCACATGTATTGGTTTGGTGACATGGTTGTGCGCATGTGTCAATTTCTGGCAACACCCAGATTTTCGTAGGGCAACTAGTGCTTGATGGTGAGCTTCCTATACTGTATAGTATTTGTTGTTACCAGATTTCCGTAGTATCATATTACTAAATAACTGTATTATTTCCGAAAAGCATTCCGCTGTTGTGCCGCATGGTGGCGGTCCCATCGTCCTCATGTTGCACGATGGTTCCTGGGTATCGAGGAGCCGCTGAACGAAACTGAGACTGCAACGCAACAGCGTGAGCTCCAAAGGGAACAGCGGCGTGAGTATGTACAGTCATGGGCTGGGCTGTCACAACTTGATGGCGAGGATAATGGGCAGGGATGGCGTGCCGTGCAGATGGAATAGGCACGGGGATAGGAAGGGAGGGGCTGTAGTGTACACTTGTTGTATAGCGGGGTAGCCAACATTTGCTTGTGTGGCTTGCCATTGACTGGGGGAGGGGTGGGGATCTGGCTGTGTTGGTACAGATGGCTTGCCATGTCTGTTGGTGTTGTTAGTTGGCCTGGGAGTGCGTTCACTTGGACTGGCCTGATCAACATCCCACAGCTTACAAAGTTCTTCGCCAACTTTGGAATCCAATCCATGAGAACCAAAAAGACGGTTTTTTGTTACTAGAAGAATCCTGCCTCGAATTTAAACAACCATTTTTTTCAATTCCGACAATCTACGACACCCCTAACTTTTCACTATTTCAGAGTCATCCATGCCTCCACCTTCCACGTTCTCCCAGCATACTTACTTATCACCTCAATATCCGATCCTCCACTCTCCGTACCTTTGTTACTGAGCCACTTCGGCATCCTTTCACGAGTATGCTTATCCTGGCATTTCCCATTTCTCCTACATGTGTGCCTCAACTACACATATTTTTTCACCGTTTGTCATCGTAGTCGATAGAGGCATTAGAATCCCACCAGCAGAGGTGTATCCTGTTAATTTAGATGACTGGAAACATTTATGGTCAGTGGACAAAACAGCAGCCCATGGTTATATTCCAGTTGAAGGGGAGACCTGGAAGGTGCACTGAGGATCACGGCGAAACCAACATCCTACGCTGTTGTTCGACAAAATTTCTACGATTCTGCTTATTGCTTTCCTTTTCGTTTAATGGAAAGAAACGTTTTGCATCAGGAATTTACAAAGTCCAGGTTGTATTGTATGTTGGATAATTCTTACCGTAAATAAACCCTTTCCAGCAGCTTTATTTTGAGGACAATCACTCAGCCAAGGGCAATATCCTTCGATATACCAGCAAGCCAGGAAGGGGTTTATTTTTTTTATAACCCTGCGATTAATTTTTTACATCTCTTTTGAGCATATATGTTCGAAGAAAACGAAAAGCAAGTGATGTGCGCGAGTGCGAATGACGCAACCAAATACATTGATCAGTTGAATTATATTTTGTAAAACTGTGATTGGACCAGAGCTTACAGGCTGTCATGTCAAATCCTTTTTTTGGATAGATTCTAATTAATGTAATTAGTGCACTCTTTTCCCTCCTTTATTATTTTTTTTTTCTTTGTCGTGAATTATTTTCGTGGGGCATTGTACATGAGTTAATGGAATTGTTTTATGACATAATCAAAGAAAAAAAGTTTTAAATTTGCTGACAGGTAGTAGGAGAATGACGTTTAATGACGTGTCATCGTGCTATGGCGTGTGCAAAACCTTTGCAAAGTATCTCGTACCCAGATCTCTGGTCGACGGAGAGATCTGGGTACGAGATTATTTTCTCTAAATTATCATTTAGCTGAATAAGTAGCTTTCAGTCTCAACATGGATTGTAAAACCTCTGTGAAATTTTATTCGACTTTTGTAAACGTCCTCTCAATATTGAGCTATAGCTAAATTTGCTATGACTTAAAAACCTTCACAAACTGTAAGGTAGAAACAAAATATCGGGTCGCGTAGCAATTGACGACTACTGCTTTGAGCGCCCGCAAGCTTCCGTCAGCACTCACCTTTGAGCAAATAGACAATGGGTAATTGACCGATCGGAGGGCGCGGCTCGTTTTTGTTACAAGTAAAGTTTGTACCTTTCTATCCATTTAGCACGGCGAGTTATTCTTGCCAATTTTTGGCTGTTAGTATTCAAGAATAACAATTTAAGCATATTTCACGTCACTACCGTGCGGTTTATCTCAGTCGGTTGACGGCAGGCTTTACTGAGCTTGAGATGTGAGCTCAAACCATGCAAGACCACGTGGCATGCGCAGTCCTTTTGACTGCAAGCAATCTCTTGGGAGACTTCCTTGCAGGCTTCAGTCTAAATAACTGGCACGATTTTGCCGATTATACCATTAAACGTGTTGCATGAATAGGAGGCGTTAGTGTCATTAAGTATTTTAATGTACTTTGTAGCAGATGAAGCCAAATCTACTATTGGAGATGGGAGGGCAAGATCGTTGCGTGACGAGCAAAAAATTAAAGGCTTTGCGTAAGAGGCCATAAAATAGTCGGTAGGAAGCGAAATCTGAACACCGCGGGCATCGCAGGTTTTAAGTCTGAATGAAACGCTTTGAAACAGGGAAGCGTTGGTTATCCTTTGTTGAGGTACTAACCATCGGTCGCAAGATTCGACTTAGAAATAGAGTGCATTGGGTGTGGATTACATGGGGGGGAGGTAGAATTTTCCCAGAAGGATGCACA